GACATGATTGTAGATTTGGATGGCATGCATACTTATGGTATGGGAAAACAAAAAAGGACGTTTTTTTTAAGCACCACTATATCAGAAGAATGATATTTGATACCTGGATTAAATATAAAAGGTTTTTTCAGATGAGAGACCACTTTGGATAATACCAGCAGAGGTAATTAAACCTTATTCAGTTTATAAGGGAGAGGACTGGTTACAATATAGAGATATATTGAAATCTGATGGAAAATCATTTGAGATGAAATCAGAAGAAGAAATGGACTATAAATATGGTTGGTTACAATATAGACAGGTTTATGGTCTGTTTAAAACAGATAAAAAAGAATTTGGGTTCAAGAAAAAATATAATGAAATTGAAAATTTGTGGTTGGAAGGAGGCAAAAAGATGATATCTAAGATGTACAAGATTTTGCTAAAATGGTATACGGAAGTTGAAACAGTGAAAGAGCAGATGGTAAAATGGGCAGTTAATATGAATAAGGAAATATATATGTCATCCTGGGAATTTTTATGGAAAAATGCAATGAAAATTTCAACATGTAATAATCTAAAAGAGAATTGTTATAAGATGATGTATAGATGGTATATGACACACAAAAAGATAGCGAATATAAGTAACAATTTATCAAACAAATGTTGGAAATGTAAAAAAATAGAAGGCTCTTTTTACCATATGTGGTGGACATGTGATAAAGCAAAAAAAATTTGGACTGAGGTCCATACAGAGATGGGAAAAATAATGAAATGTAAAATTAAGAAGGAACCTGAAGTGTTCCTTTTGGGACTTAAAATGGAAGAAGTTAATATAGCAAAACGGACTTTAATGTGGTATATGATTACAACTGCCAAAATGATATACGCTCAATGTTGGAAGCAAGAAAGAACTCCCAATATATGGGAATGGTTGAAAAAGTTACTTTTTATGGTTGAGATTGACAAAATGACAAGAAAGCTGAAAAATCAACAAACAGAAGATTTTTTTGCAGATTGGAAAGACTTTAAAGACTACTTGGAGAAATACTGGGATGTAAAAAACAATTTATTTTGCTTTGACAATTACTAAGGTTGGATAGACATTTAGATTAAATTTAAACATGCATAGACAGACAGATAAAAAGATACGTTACCTGAAAGAATTATGTTGTTAAAGAATTGGAAAAAGAGAAAAAAATCAAGAATGTAATAGAGGTTCGAGCACTGTGGGAAGTCAGAAGGGGGGGAGATATTTGGATAAAAGGATATGAAAAGTTTGTTATATGACGTAAAATTTTACTTATTATTATATCCTAATAAAATTGTTTGGTTTTATTTTTTAAAAAAAGAATGTTATCTTCTTGGCTATGTTACTCTGGGTATAAAATTTCATGTATTTCCTTATTGTGCTCAGAAAGCAGTCACTTTTTGATAGGCTGGTTTGGCCTAACTGTTTTCAGGTGTTTTAATTGCAATTAAAATCAATGAACAGTCCTCCTCATTTTGACTTCTCTTTTTGGCTGGAAATCTATTTGTACAACAGTGTTAAAGTGATGAGAACATGAAGAGTGAAGGGGAGATGAGCTTTCCCAAACACTGGAGGACACAAGGAAGATGTGATTGCCTGCGGTTGGCTGGCTGCACAGGGCTTTTTTTCTGGGGGAACACGCCAAGATGGAGTTCTGGAACCTCTTCAACAAATTTTAAAAAAAATGTTTAAAAGTTCATGAGTTTTCAGTATATAGAGTGAAAACTTCATTTCCCTCTTGAGAGTCCCGGCACCTCTTTAAAAAAAAAGCAAAAAAAAAAAGCCCTGGGCTGGCACATGTCTATTATGTGATTATGGGCACATATCTTTCTTTCATACTGTGTGGGTGTACACATGAAACATGACTGCCAGATAAAATGAGTATCAGCCCTCTCAGTTTAACTGAAACCTAAAAAAAACCCATAAGCCTTGTACCTGAATAGCCTTTCTATACTAACTAATACAATCACTGGGGGTTTTGTGTGAAAGGCAATTTCCTGTTAGCCAAATTGCTTTATTTACAGCAATTGGCAATTTATAAATGGGTTCTTGCCAATTTATACCAAGGTCCATCCACCCCACGCTTTTTGCTTTAGCCTTAACACAGAACCTGAAGTAGAGATGCTCTGCCAATACTGTATCAATAAACTTTCCTTCTGAAGAAGCGAGTTGTTGATTCTGATTGCTGCAAGAGTCTGACAAACATGCAATGTGAGGTTTCTTCACAGAGGAACAGTTGGAATGTGTGGGGCACTGAAAGAACAAAAATAAAGTGTGGAAAGATTCTCACGTTCTTGTGCATAGCTCCCTGGGGCAGGATACATGCGCTCACTCTCCTCCTGCATAGCTGGCATAGGGATGTTGCATAGAGAAATGTCTGTATCACCTGCTCGGTGTCGAAGAGAATCTGAAAGCAGAAGCCAAAAAGCCACTCAATTAAACCTCTCCAAAATATACCCTTGGAGGGAGATGGTGAGACAGAAGTCTGGTTCTTGCGTCTACCACTGTGTTTCTTTTAAAGCTCTAGGCAGGATGCTCATCAGAATATCTCCCCGTTCCAGAATTCATAGGGACACCAGCGGCCATTTTATAAGCTATCTAACTCTGTTGCACATCTAAGCCTTCCCCTCTCTCTCTAATGATTTATAAACCGTTTCTTAATCTCTGAATACAGTCAGACCCTGCACATATTCAATTACCTTTGAAAGTGTAAATTTTAATAATCTAGAAAATAGATGGACTGCCTTTATGTGACATTTCATCTTCTTTTCCCTTCCTGGAAGACTGAATAGAACAAGAAGTGGAGTCGATTGTCTGGAATGAAGAAAGCTGCAGGCTCCCAGAACTGGAGCAACCTTAGATTACAAAGGGAGGAGGGCATGCGATAAACATGTGTTTTAGTTTTTCCTTAATGCAAGCTTGAATATGTGTACGTGTGTCAAAATTTGACCAATGGCTTCACTAAAACATCATGATAAAGACTGTGTTTAGTCTAACTAGTGTAAGCAACAAATCTTGTTTCTTGTGAAAACTCCAGGTTGGGTGCTTTTGTGCCTCTTCTCCTGCTTCCCAGAAGGGAGGACATCGTAACAAATATTCTTTCTTTGCAGCCAGGTGGCTGCAAAGGGCAGTGCTGCTCAACAAACTATGTTTTGTGAATTCAGACACTGTAATAAACTAAATGAGTACCTACTGTGGTTAACAAACCCTAGTTTGAAATCCTGCATTTTCACCAATGAATAAACCTCAATTTGTTGGACTGTCTATGCTGGAACATCACAACTCATCGGGATTTTATCAACCAGGGAATTAACTGGAGTTTATCACGAGGTTTGAACATTGCCAATTAACACATATCAACACATGAAATTGCCTTATACCTTATCAGACCAACGGTCCATCACAGTCAGTATTGTCTATTCAGACTAACAGCAGCTCTCTAGTGTCTTGGACAGAGGTCTTTCATATCACCTACTACCTGAACCCTTTAACTGGAGATGCCAGGGATTGAACCTGGGGCCTTCTGTATACCAAGCAGATGTTCTATTACTGAGCCATATCCCCTGCCCAAACATTACTGGGAAGAGGATGGGCATAAACCGAACTATGAAGCAAAATTTGTCACAAATTTTTACGCTGTTTGTAGTTCACAAACAGAAGTTTGTGAGGGGTCTACAATCACAAACTTTCATGAACTTTTAAAGTAGTTTGTGGTGGTTCATGGATAGAGCAGAAAGTAGGGGCTTAAATGGACTCGGAGTCCCTTTAAACCCCTACTTTCTGTTCCCTATGAAAGCTGCAAAAACAGCTGAGCAGCAGGGAGCAGGCTGCTTGCTCCCTGTTGCTCAGATGTTTCTTTGGTCTTTCTGCAAACCCCATTTACAGTGACTGCAGGGTTTGTGGGGCCATGAACTGGTCCAGTTCACAAACAAACCTCCTGGTTCTGTTCGTGGTTTGGCCATGAAGCACAATTTCGAGTAGGAGCTGCCGCCACCATTATTCCACCACCGCTCTTTCCATCACCGCACTTTTACCACCGCTTGAGCGGGTGTCATCGGGGGTGCGAGACGTTCCTGGTGGATGACAGGGCTGCGGGGACATATATTGCTGTTGTTCTGGTATAACATCTCCAGAACACCATCTTAGTTTTTATGATTGGAGTGATTACTGGAGCACCAATATTTTATTAATTGTATTATATTGTATTACTGTAATTTTATATTGTTTTATTGTTTTATTGCTTTAACCTGGCACTTATGCCCTTGTTAGCTGCCCTGAGCCTTTGGGGAGGGCAGGATATAAATAAAAAATAAATTCAATTGATTGATTGGCCATGAAGCTCAAATCAACAAAAACTGCATTTCCCTGGTTTGTGCCCATCCCTAATTTTTACTCTTATCTTGCTTGAAATGCTCCTTGAAGCTTTTGTTAGCACCATGGAGAAAATATATCACATCTTCAGAGTTGCAATTTAGGCCAGGAAAGAGGCTGTTCAGCAGCTTATGCTACTGCCCTGAACAAATCCAAAGTCCACACAAGGCTGCCTTAAAGTAAAATGCAGGAAGAAGGACAATGGTTTAATGGTAGAGCACATGCTTTGGATGCAGAAGGCCCCAAATTTAATCCTTGGAAACACAAGATAAAAGGTTTCAGACGCAGTACTGGCAAAAGCAAACAAAACAAAAAAAAAGCCCCAACCAACCACCGAGAAGGAAGCTTCACGGTAAGTGAATACAAATTTTCCATTCTTTGCCTGAGATCCTAGAGAACCGCTAGTCAGAAAAGACTGCGCCAGGCAGACCAATAGTCTGACTGGTTATAAGGCAGCTTCATATGTTCATAACAAAACCACTGAGAGTCCCAGTGATGGATCTCTGTGCCACATGTAGTTAGGCCCTGAGAACGCAGGAACTTGCTGAAAAGATAGCATGCTCACTGTAGAATGTAGAGAGTGCCATGGGTGGCTTGTCCTTGAAATCATAGTGTTCATAATCAGAGTTGGACTCTTCAGTATGAGATGTGATCGTCGCTGCTGTTGCTGAGAGATAACACAGAGGTAACAGTTATCAAACACATCTGGCGGAAGCAGCCTACAGTGCTGTAAAGAGATCACCTGCCCCTGTAGTGATGAATTGCGGACAACGATTCCCACGAAAAACATCGACAAACAAGAGAGAGAGAGACAGAACAACAAGGATGATCTCCACAACTCCTCTTGGCTAATCAGTTTTGACTCCTGTTGTGTATTGGGTTTAATGTTATGCAGGGGTCATTTCATAGAAAAAGAGCTGCAGGAGCTCATTAGCATACGGTGTGCTAATGAGCGACTAGGCTGTTAGCACAATAGCTCATTAGCGTATGCAACGCCCCCTGATATCACCGGAAGTGATGTCAGAATGGGAAGCAAAGGGGGGGAGGCATCATCAAAAGCCTCCCCTTCCCTTCCCCAGTGTGTGTGGGGGAGCGAAGAGAGAAGGGGTTTAAAGTTTAAGCCCCTTCTCACTAGAGTTGGGCCGCAGAAGGAGGAAAGAGGGAAGGAAAGAGAGAGAGAG